AAGGGTAAGGGGAAGACGACTCAAGTTGGAGAAGGAAATAAACGAAAGCCTGGTAGACCTCGTAAGCTCTCAAATGGTATCTCCAATCCTAAGGGTAGTTCATATCCTTCACACCATATTATTATGATCGATAGTCTAACAAAATCTGTTTCCGATCCTGTGAACTACCCAATTTCTATCATTGGCCTCAGAGCCAAGTTACATAAATCAAAACAATTTGCCCAATTTTCATCCGAGGATGTCTCAAACTACATCTGAGACTTCCTCTTCGTCAAGTAACGAATCCAACAACATTCTTTCTAAGTTTCAACTTGAGAAGAAATTAGGAAAGAGAACGTTCGTGGATAAGGAAAATATTCAACCGATTTTGATTGAAAGTTCCAAATTGGCATTTGAGAATTTTCTTGCAGAATCCAAAACCCACAAAAATACTAAAACATTTATGTCTGAAATTCCATCCTACAACCCGTTTGAACCCAGGCCTGAATTAACCCAACAATTCGAACTATATTCTCCTACACCATTTCATTCGACAGAAAACAAAATTCTTTTTGAAATTGAACCATTTCATCATACAAATTCATCCAACAATTATCAGAATTTAAAAAACTTGTATTCAGAAAGTTTTTACAGTCCAATTAGGCCCTCAGACAACCCATTTCAATCGTGATTTTTTGCTGCAAAGATCAAACCTGCACAGAAAATAGAAGACCAGCAGCATCCATTTGGACCCAAAATTTCAGAACCTTTTTCTGCAATTTGGTCACAAAACCCAAGAGGCTTACTTGCACCATCGTGATTGATTCGTAGTCCTTCGTTGACTGCTACAAATTCGAGACTGAACCCGTAATTTTTACGCCTTCCTCCACCGTGGACTCACCACAGCAACCACTGACCCATAGCAAGCAGCGGCGTGGTCGTGTTCTTCCCCCGTAGTCTTCTCATTCAACCGTGGTCTCGTCCCCTCGCGGTAATACACAATACCGATGACACCGTTATCCACCAAGGAGAATTGTCCCTCCCGCTCGAGATTATCTGCCAGGTTGTGGAACAAAGTTTTCCCAGAGAAAGCAGAGAGTGGAACCCGTTTTCTTCCAGAGGAATTGCTTCGAAAATAAAGAAGAAGAAGATTGTTTTGACAATAAAAAAAGTTGAATTTATTTTGGGGGAGGCTTCACGTGGGGACCATACAAAGGTCAAAAGTTTTGGTGATTTATTGCACTCTAATAGTGCAAAGGCATCAGGTAGGAAGCAAACAAAATATAAGGGATTTTGTGGTTCTAAGCAATTTGACAGTGCATTGAAAAGTGAACTTGCTTTTGAGAAGTCTTCACGTGGGAAGCAATGTGAAAAGGCAAAGTGATGTCCATCAAAAAGTCAAAATCAGTTCTTTAATTCTGAGCATTTTAAGAGAGCACGTTCGCAGGTCCTTTGAGGTTTGGTCATCTTCAAGTAGGCCAAATCCGAGAAGCTACCTGCAACCTTTTTTTACAACCTTGGCAGCTCCCTTCAAGTTTCATTAATCCTGTTTACCTTAATAATTTCACTTATAAAGTTGATTTGTGGAATATTTTGAATAATAATCAGAAAGATCAAAAGTGGAAGCAAGGGTTTAATTTTCAGAATTCTAAAGTAAAAGACTAAGAATTGAAATAGAATCCAGTACTCGAGAAAAGACTGATTTTGTGCACGAAAATAGAGGAAGAATTTATCACACTTGGCCAAGTAGACAAGTAAGAAATCCACGAGCCTTTTATCGACGTAATCGGCTGAACAAGTACTCGGCTTTCATTGATTGGACAAAGCTGCTAAGAATAAATAAGTCTCTATTTTTATTTTATTTTGTTTTTTTTTAGTCTTTAATTTATTAAGAACATTTAGTATTTGTGGCTTGTAATAATTAAAAGTACACTAGTAGTATTTGTATTTAAGTTGGTATTATGTATTGTGTTTGTTTTGTAATTTTCTGAGCTATGGCAACTAAATCTTCCAAATCTGAAGTTTTTAAAATAGAGAGGTTGAATAACGTTAATTAGCGAATATGGAAGAGAATGATCACTTATCTTTTAACCCATGACAAGACTTTGTACACTATCAAGGACGAGAGACCCCTTGGTCCCTCTCAAGTTTATAATAAATGGGTGGAAGATAATGAGTTGGGTAAGGTCATAACCCTCAATTACTTGGAAGATAAATTAATACCTCTCTATAAAAAATATGATTCGTCCAAAGAAATCATGGATGTACTTGAAAAAAAGTATGGCCTTAAATCTCAAATGTACATTCAGTTATTGCTTGAGAAATACAATGGGACAAAAATGGAGGAAACTAATTCTATGGTCAATCATATTACTAAAATAGAAGTAATGGCAAACGACTTAGCCAATGCTAGCCATCCAGTTTCTAATAAAATGCAAGTTAGTGTTCTTCTTGGTACCCTCCCAAATTCTTGGGAAAATGTAGTTACTTCATAACTCATAGTCAAGTTGAATTAACGATTGATACATTGCCTGCAATGTTGGCTATTGAAGAAGTTCGTAAAAATTATAGGAAAAAGGAAACTGGACAAGGCAGACCCAACCTCCTCATAGCGGAAGATTCTCAGAAAAAACAAGCAACACATGCACAAGCCAAAGCAATATATTTGCTCAGCCTTTACAAACCCTAAGACCTAGGTTTCTTATTCCAACTAGGAAACTAAGAAAAAATAATAAAAATATCCTAGAAAATAAAACCCTAATTGACTAGGAGAATCTGCCAAGTACTTGTCCAGCCACGTTTTAGTCTCAGATCTCCTCCAAATCCGGCCCCAGTTAAGTTTTTTTGAAGATAAATATGTTCCGAACACATCCCCAGAAGGCCACGAAACCATCCGAGGTCATTTTGGGCTCCAAAAACGCACTTTAAACCCAGAAACGTCATTTTTCAGTACTGCACATCGCTCCTTTATTTTATCGCCAGAAAATAACTGCTTGATGGAAAAATCCCAAATTTTGATACGACCAAGCTAAGTGACTCACGAACGTCTTCCAACTGGAATTACTCCAAAATCCGTCCATTTGACCACGTTTTGCTCCAAAGGAAGTCAGAAGTCCTATACTGAAAATACAATTCAAAGTATCAAAATTCTTCCAAAATATTAACTAAAATATACTAAAAATAGAGTTAAATATATAATATAAAATTCACTTATCAAAATACCCCCAAACTTAGCTTTTGGCTAGTCCTCAAGCAAAATAAAACTAGAAAATAAAAATAAAAACTGACAAACTGGACACTTAACTAAAACTTAGCTAAAACAAAATTCTCACTTTCAAGTTGCAATCCATAGAAATGTTAAAAATCAAAACATCTTTTCAAAAGTTCCAACCAATCCCACCAAAGAGTCTAAGCCATTTAGAATCAATCAGAAAAGAATTCACACACTTCCTTTGGTGTAAAGTGAACCAACATAGTTAAAGAGACTCGACCAAAACTCTTACCTCTCATCCCTTTATTCATACTTCACACACTAACTTCACAAATATTTTTTTTCTTTCTCTTCTTTTCGAGTTTTTTTTTTTTTGTATTATTATTAAGTAATAGTAGTGGTCGTGCAATGTCGGTTCCCTTAAGCTTTCTATCCAACCCATGTAGTGAGCTTTAGGTCAATGACTCCCAAACCACTAGGGCTTCAGGGCACTAGGTGTGGAACACCCTTAAGGACTTATTAACCCGAGCTGAAAAGGCTACAAAAACAACTAACCACCATACCTCATGCCAAAACTCTACCGTTTGACGCGAGAATCACTGCTGATTAGGCAGGACTGGCCCGGTTACTAGGCAGAACCTCGAGTGAGACAATTATTACTTTATAACACATACTAACTTTACTTTATTTAGAACAAAAATAAAAATAACAATACACTTAGACAAAAAGCAAGTATTTCAATCTTACTCCTCACAAACCGTGTTGGTGTGAATGTGCAAATTTTTCAAAGTATAACTCATGAATTAGTGTCTAATTAACGATAAATAGAAAAGACTCTACTGTGGGATTAATCTTTACCATGTCCATTTTTTCTAACGTTTAAAATAATCTATGGATATTAGCTTAAAAACGAAAAAATTTAATTGACACAAAAATAAAAATCCTAAATTTTTACTATTTTCCCACCCCTAAACTTATTTCACACTTTGTCCTCAAGGTGTGGAAAAGAAATATAAACTACAAAAAAAAAACGAAAAGCAAAACTAGAAAAGATTAAATAAAAGTCTAGACCAAAGAACGAAAAGAAAAAGGAAAATAGAAAATGAAACAAAGAAATTTAAAAATTAAAAAGATAAATAATAGAACAAACAAAAAAAAACAAAAGGAAAAAAAATCACCTGACACCACAAACATTGAGCCGTGACAAACATTGGATTCCGATGAGAATTTGGAATGGCATGCAGCTGGCATGTGCATTGGAAAGTGGCATGCAACTGGCCATGTCTGAATAAGAAAAGTCACGATCACTCCTCAGTCCTTGTTAGTAAATGAGCCCAAACGGCTCTTTTCTTTTGACAAAATCGAGAGCCAAACGCCTCTGTATTTTCCCATTTCCAAAACAACCCTCTCGGACAGATACACAGGGCCACACGATGAAAATACGTGTCATACATCTGTGTAAAGAACTCCTTAAGGGTGCGTTTGGTACGTGGGACGGGACGGGACGGAACGGGACGAGGCGTTCCGTCCCGCGTTTGGTGCGCCAAAAATAGGTGGAACGGGCTGTTCCACGGGACAGATTTTGGGTGTTTTTGCGTTCCACCTCCCCCCGTGGAACGGGTTTGTTCCACGTCTGTGGAACACAATGTTTTACCATTTTAAGACAAATATACCCCATGTCTTTTTTAAAAATTACACCTTCGTTCCGTCCCGTCCCGTCCCGTCCCGTTCCAATAGAAATGCTGAAATGTGTTACAGTCACCCATGGTTATGTCAGATGGCTTTTAGAACCCCTAGGCCACATCATTTCTCACAATGTGCTCTACACTCTTGCGAAAAAAAAAAACAAAAAAAAACTGTACCTCCATAACAAAACCTTCTCTCTGATCACTCAGAACCCATTTCTCTCTTAAAGGAAAAAAACTTCCATCTCTCTCTCTCTAGAAAATCCAAAGAGACTCACGAAGTTTTTGCCATGTTCAAAACTCGCAAACCCAACCAATAAGTTAAGCCTCCATGTCACAGCAACTCCTACATCCTCTCGAAGAGCTGTCTCTGTAGCCTTCCAGAATCCAGCAACAAACAAACCTCCGGGAGTCCCGAGCCGTGGTAGAGTGAGCTGAAAAGTGAAGATGCTGAAGGTAAAAATCCACCTCCATTTGTGTTATGTCCGTGTCAGCTTTATGTATTTAGCTGAAAGGAAGCAAGATCTAACATATGCATGTGTGTTTATCCGTAGGAAGTCCCCCAAATTGCATATCTGAGCCGATCTACACCACGCAATCTGATTGTCAACAAAATCCGAAACCAGTTAGTGTCTGCCATAGAAATGAACGCACAGTTCAGCTCCAATCATCCCACAGAGTTACACATCTTCACTCAACTAGCGCATTGTGGTGATTTCCATGTGTCCTATAACTCCACCCTACAAGTGTATAAGTTATGTGTCTCGTTTGTGTGCAAAGGTACTGCAGCTAGATGCTGAACATCAGTAAGGACACGACAACAGAGACGACATTGCGAACCTGAGGCATGCAGAGGTAAAAATTTTGTTCTCCACCAATGATGACCCCCAAATGGTGAAAAATGTTGCCTCATCCGTTAGTGATATTTTCGAATGTAAAAGCGATAGATCCCAGAAGTACCCCATATTTGATGATATATGAACACTTCCGATGTAACTCATACACTGGATTGCTGTGGTGCAGGGATGAACTCCAAATGGTGAAGACACATTTGGGTACCAAACTATCGGCCTGCAAGGAAGAGTGGCCGCAGAGCAAAATATAAAGGTATAACATCACATCCCTACTTATGTATGACATATAGGGTTGGTCTTCATGTAGATCTGCGACTAGATGCATAATTCTGTCTAAAATGATCTCTCTGTGCATTAAGTCTTGTTTGTCTTGTGTTACTGGCTGCATAAAAATCAGGTGGTGAAATCAGAGATAACATGTAGAAGATACTATTGGTAAAATATAACAAGTAAAAGCAAATTTGGTTTTTTTTTTTTTTGTATTTTGACTGAACATGAAATGCAGCCTAGGAATTTAAATGCAACTAGAAATTGAAAGTAATGAAAGAAAAATGAAACAAAGTAAAGAAAAAGTTAGAAAGTTGGGTTGCCTCCTAAGAAGCGCTTTATTTAAAGTCTGTAGCTAGACGTTGCAGAAATCTGGTGGCTAAGTCACTAGATCCCTCAGAGTTAATGACTCGCATGCTGTGTCATAGGGTGATTCCAAGTATGGTTTGAGCCTGTGACCATTGACCTTGAATTCATGACCTGTGACCTCATTTTTTATCTCCACAACCCCATGCAAATAAACTTTAGTGACCACATATGGCCCTGTCCAACGTGACTTAAGTTTGCCTGGAAACACCTTTAATCTGGAATTGAAAAACAACACCTTTTGCCCTGTGTAAAATTCCCTGCGAAGGATTTTACTATCATGAAATGCCTTAGTCTTGTGCATCATTACGAATCTCATAGAGCTCATTGAGCTCCAACTTACGCTTCTCCCCAGCTGAATCATATGAAAAATTTAGCTCCTTAATAGCCCAGAACGCCTTGTGCTCTAGTTCCATAGGTAAATGACATACTTTCCCATACATAAGTCTAAATGGCGACATCCCAATTGGGGTTTTAAAAGCTGTCCTGTAAGCTCACAGTGCGTCATTTAATTTTAAACTCCAATCCTTACGTGTAGAGCCAACTGTTTTCTCCAAAATCCGCTTTAATTCTCTGTTTGAAACTTCCACTTGACCAGATGTCTGTGGATGATAGGGTGTAGCCACGCGATGAGTAATCCCATACTTTGCTAATAAAGCTGCAAACTGTTTATTAATAAAATGCTTCCCCCCATCACTAAGAATCATATGTGGAATTCCAAAACGTGGAAATATAACCCCCTGGAGGAATTTCAACACCATTGATCCTTGATTAGTTGGTGTTGCAATGGCCTCGACCCATTTAGAAACATATTCCACAGCAACTAAAATGTACTGATTCCCATGAGATTATGGGAATGGTCCCATGAAATCAATACCCCAAACATCAAATAACTCAACAATTAGAATACTTTGCTGGGGCAACTCATTCCTCTTGGATTGATTGCCGACTCTTTGACACCTGTCACAAGCTCTGCACCAATTATTTGCATCTTTAAATAATGTAGGCCAAAACAACCTACTTTGCAGAATTTTCTCTGCTGTCCTTTTCTGTCCAAAATGTCCCCCACATGCATACTGATGAGCAAAACGTAAAATACTGTCTTGTTCAACCTCAGGAATGCACCTGCGAATAATCTGGTAGGGACAATACTTATATAAGTATGGTTCATCCCAGAAATAATGCTTGACATCAGACAAAAACTTCTTTTTCTGCTGAAATGAAAAATCGGGATGCACAACACCCGTAGCCAAATAATTAACAATATCAGCAAACCAGGGTGTATTTATTTGGGTAGCAAAGAGCTGCTCATCTAGAAAACTCTCACTCAATGGTAGCGAATCTGCCTCCTTAGTTGCGGGAATAATTAATCTGGATAAATGGTCAGCCATCACATTTTCACAGCCTTTCTTGTCTTTAATATCTAAGTCAAATTCTTGGAGTAAAAGAACCCATCGAATCAACCTAGGCTTTGCATCCTTGTTAGATAACAAGTATTTTAATGCAGCATGATCAGTATAAACAATTATCTTAGCTCCAACCAAATAAGACCGAAACTTCTCTAAGGCAAACACAACTGCCAACAATTCTTTCTCTGTGGTAGCATAGTTAAGTTGTGCATCATTGAGTGTATGACTTGCATAATAAATGACATGGGGAAGCTTGTCTTTCTGCTATCCCAAAACTGCCCCAACAACATAATCTGAAGCATCACACATTAATTCAAATGGTAAACCCCAATCTGGTGCAGCAATGATGGGTGCCGAAGTTAGGAGTGATTTCAACTTGTTGAATGCTTCTAAGCAAGCCTCTTCGAAGTTAAATAGTGCATCTTTAGCCAATAAATTGCACAAAGGTCAGCTGATCTTGGAGAAATCCTTGATGAATTGACGATAAAATCCTGCTTGTCCCAAAAACGATCTAACACCTTTTACTGATGTAGGGGGTGGCAACTTTGCAATCACATCAATTTTAGCTTTGTCAACTTCAATGCCTTTGCTAGAAATTGAATGACCCAAAACTATTCCCTGTTTCACCATAAAATGACACTTTTCCGAATTCAGCACTAAATTTGTTTCTTGACATCTCTCAAGAACTAAGGACAAATTATGTAAGCATTGATCAAATGAATCTCCAAACACAGAAAAATCATCCATAAAAACTTCCACAATTCTTTTAACCAAGCTAGAAAAGATACTCATCATACAACACTGAAAAGTGGCAGGTGCATTGCATAACCCAAATGGCATCCTCTGATAGGCAAATGTCCCAAATGGGCATGTAAATGTTGTCTTCTCTTGTTCCTCTGGTGCAATTGGGATCTGATTGTACCCAGAATAGCCATCCAAGAAACAATAAAAAGCCCTGCCAGCCAATCTTTCTAACATTTGGTCAGTAAACAGTAGAGGAAAATGGTCTTTTCTTGTACCTGCATTTGGCTTCCTATAATCCACACACATACGCCAGCCTATAGTTAAGCGCGTAGGAATAAGCTCATTGTTGTCATTTTTAACTACTGTAATGCCAGTACGTTTAGGAAGAACCTGCGTAGGACTCTCCCATTTACTGTCTGAAATGGGATAAATCATACATGCATCAAGTAATTTCATCACATCTGTTCTAACCACCTCTTTCATAATTGGGTTAAGGCGGCGTTGAGCATCAACTGTTGGCTTCACGTCGTCTTCCATTAAAATTCTGTGCATACGGATTGCTGGGCTAATACCCTTGATGTCGGCAATTGTCCATCTTAGTGCATCTTGATATTTCCTCAAAACACGAAGCAATTTATCTTCCTCTGTGGGAGTTAAATCAGCTGCAACTATAACTGGCAGCGTTTCTGCAGCCCTTAAATATGCATATTTTAAATGTTCTGGTAGAGGCTTTAACTCCAATTTTGGTGGCTGCTGTCTGGACGGCTTAAGGGGCTATTTTGGCTCCCCTAAGCTCTCGTAAACATTTCTAAACCATGGCAACTATGTGGGCAGACTGTCCAATGTATGAATGTACTCAAGAACACCGTCATCTTCAGAATCTGTCCCAATTTCTCTTTGTAAAACGTACAGCAACTGATCTGTATTTGAACAGGCATAAAAACTATCTTGAACCATATTGTCTAACACATCAATGCGCATACAATCTTGCTGTTCAGCAGGATGTTTTGCTGCCTCAAACAAATTAAATACCACAGATTGGTCTTGAACTTGTAAAGTTAGCGTTCCAGCTTCCACATCAATTAATGTCCTAGCTGTTGCCATAAACGGCCTCCCAAAAATGATAGGTGTGTGAAGGTCTTCATCCATGTCTAAAACCACAAAATCCGCTGGTAGATAAGGATTATCAACCTTAATAATAAGATCTTCAATAACACCTCTTGGATAAGTGATTAAATGATCAGCTAGTTGAAGTATAATTGATGTAGGCTTTAAATCTCCTTGTCCCAATCGCTGGAAAACAGAAAAAGGCATCAAGTTAATACTCGCACCCAAATCGATTAAAGCACTTTTAAAATCAGAATTTCCAATAGTACAAGAAATATTAAAACTCCCTGGATCTTTTTTCTTAGGTGGTAGTTTGTGTAGCAAAGTGCATTGCATTGTTCTGTCAAAACAACTTTGTCCAAATATGCAAGCTTCTTTTTGCTACTGCAAACCTCTTTCAGAAATTTGGCATATGATGGTATTTTCTTGATTGCATCTAGCAATGGAATGTTGATTTGAACCTTGGATAATGTCTGCATAAAATCTTTGAGTTGCTGATCTCTTGCTTTAGGAATTACACGTTCAGGGTAAGGCAATGGAGGGTCATAAACACGCTGAGAAATCTGTTTTGGGACTGTGCAGATTCTGTTTTTCTGCAGATTTGTCAGGTTCTGCTGCTGGTATTTCAGATTCTACAGTAATTGGCATTGCAGGCAGATTCTGTTCAGTACAGTTTGCACGATTGTCATAACTTTTTCCACACCGTAAAGTCGGAACAACATTGCAGTCTTCATGTCCTCTTGGATTAGGCATTGTTTGACTAGGAAATATGCCTTTTTCTTTGTTTGAAATCTGTGCAGCTAGCTGCCCAAACTGTTGCTCCAAACTTTTAATTGATGCTTCAACATTTTGAATTCTTTGATTGCTGCCTTCCATGAATGTTTGTGTGGTTGCTACTAGTTTAGAAAGTTGATCTTCCAAGGATGGTTTTGGTGACACAAAAGGTTTTTGTACATGCTAGAATGATTTTGAATTATTCTGATTGTCACCCCATTTGAAATTAGGATGATCCCTCCATCCCGGATTGTAATGAGTTGCATATGCATAATTTCTAGGCCTTTGATAGCTATCCATCATATTAACATGTTGCTCCACAAGCTCTGGGTAAGATTCTTTATGTGGACAGCCCAATATGTTGTGTGTAGCCATGCTGCAGATAGTGCAAATTATTGTTGTAGGTGGCTGCTGCTGTGTAGAATATGCTATCTGTTGTAGAATAATATCAAACTCGGCATCAATATTCTTCTCCATTTTTTTCATTTGTGCAGACATATTAGGAGAACCTGCTGATAACTCAAAAATGCCCCTTTTCTGTGAATGTTCTGCTGCCCATTGTTGAGATTCTATAACCATTGTATCAAATAATTCAAATGCTTCTCTTGCAGATTTATTTGACAATGAACCCCCAGCTGATGCATTAACATGGTTGTTGGATGTAAGATTAAGCCCATCAAAGAAAATATTCATTTGTGTATCTGGATAAATATTAACATGTGAACATTTTATATACATCTTTGTATATCTCTCCCATGCTTTATGAAATTCTTCGTTTGGCTTTTGAGTAAATGTCATAATCTTTCGCTTGTAATTTAATGTCTTGGATGTCGGATAATATTTGTTCAGGAATCTTGTATTCAATTGTTGCCAAGTAGTAATGCTATTAGCCGGTAGAGTGAATAACCAAGTTTCAACCTTGTCCTTCAAAGTAAAAGGAAAAAGACGTAACTTAATAGCCTCGGCAGAAAAACCCCTGATCAAGATATTTTTGCAACCCACGATGAATTTAGCAACATGTAAATTCGCATCCTCATTAGGCAGCCCACGAAAATTAGGAAAATTTCAAGCATATGGTGCTTGATTTCAAATGAATCGCCATCTTCCTAGGCATGATACACAATACAATTAGGAACATCATTGGCTCGGGTAGCCAATGACTTTTTGAGTGGCTTGCCTGCAGCAGGTAATTGCAACGCCATTGTGATTTTACTGTCTGCAAAACCAGCAAACAATTCCTCCAGGAATGTGCCCTGTAGTGCACTGTCCCAAACCAAATTATTTTCTCTCCTCTGTCTATACAATGTGCGTTCGGGTTCTGGATCAAACTATGCAATCTGGGCAGTTCCTGATCTAGTTTGGACCATGTAGTTTACAGAATCTGCAATAACACAAAAGCGTTAAAATAATTGGATTTTTTTTTGACGAAAAATAATAATAAAAAAAATAATCAGAAAAAGTTTAAACAAAAATTATCTAAAATAGTCCCCAGCAACAGCGCCAATTTCTTGATAGGATTTTTAACATCTATGCAAATAGGGTCAAAATCACATAAAATACTTGCAAGAATATAAGGATATTGTAGTATAGTTGCTCATGAAAGGTCGTTTTCCTCAAGGACTATTTGGATAATTTATGTAGAAACAATTCCTAATTAAACACTTAGAAGTAAAACTTGAGAAAAGAGAGTTTGAGAGTGGGTAATATTAAAAAACAAATTTTAAACAAAAACTAAAATAATCGAAGAAAAGAGTTTTAAATACCAATTTATAAAGGCACTAGGATTCCACCATCACCTAGCAAACCTATGAATTTCTACCAATTACTTACGATTTACACATGCCACTTTGAAGATTAGGTTTTCCTAATATATATTCTCCTCCTGATGTTCAAGCAAGAACGTATATCTAACATGCAATCCGTCTGTGATATTCAGATAAAGTATGAACATGCAAGACTCATTAAGTTTTATGAAAACCTTTTGAAGAACCATGCAACCCCTAAGAACGTGATATTTGCCTTAGATGAAATTATAATTATCAATCACAGGAAGCAATACTCAATCCTCCGGTGATATTCCGACCGAATTGCATCTAATTACTTGTCTAAACATCCTAGTGGTGGCCAATCATCAAGATAAATAGATAGTTTAAAACAGTGATTAATAATTCATAGTGTGCATGCAATCAATCATAAGCAATTAAATAAAAATTACATATTCATGCTAAGGCTCAAGGTTTCGCCCTAGCAAAAGGAATTAGTTATGCATATTCATAATTGAAATCATAGAAAATATTATTAAAAATAAAAGGAATGAAAGCACCTTAAAGTAGAAAATCTCCAAGAACTCTAGCAAAGTTCTCTGTCTCTGAAATTGAATAATAATAAGTGTCCCCCTAAAACTGTAGACGGACAAAGCAATATATTTGCTCAGCCCTTACAAACCCTAAGACCTAGGTTTCTTATTCCAACTAGGAAACTAAGAAAAAATAATAAAAATATCCTAGAAAATAAAACCCTAATTGACTAGGAAATCTGCCAAGTACTTGTCCAGCCACGTTTTAGTCTTAGATCTCCTCCAAATCCGGCCCAAGATAGGTTGTTTTAAAGATAAAGACGTTCCGAACACAGCTCCAGAAGGCCACGAAACCATCCGAGGTCATCTTGGGCTCCAAAAACGCACTTTAAGCCCAGAAACGTCATTTTCCAGCACTGCGCATCGCTCCTTTATTTTATCGCCAGAAAATAACCGCTTGATGGAAAAATCCCAAATTTTGATATGACCAAGCTAAGTGACTCAAAAACGTCTTCCAACTGGAATTACTCCAAAATTCGTCCATTTGACCACGTTTTGCTCCAGAGGAAGTCGAAAGTCCTATACTGAAAATACAATTCAAAGTATCAAAATTCTTCCAAAATATTAACCAAAATATACTAAAAATAGAGTTAAATATATAATATAAAATTCACTTATCACAATGCTTGAAAGGAAATGTAAGGGCTATTAGCTAGCTACATGATTGAACTCAGCCAAAAGAAAATGCACTTGAAATGTAGAAAATTGTAAACTATCAAGATAAAAGCTATGGGAGTCAAAATAATGCTTAAGCATGCCAGTGATATATGATCTCGAACTGGGTTATGTTGGAAACGTTGGCTTGGAGAGAGAAAGCTTAGTTGGAATGTCAATCAACTACAATCCAGCTACTTCGGGGTAGCAGAGCAATAAATATTAGATAACTATCGTTTGAGAGTTAGCTTTGAAGAAAACTTGAAATTGAGCTAAAAAGTTTTGGGTTGTCTTGAATAGCTTTGAGAGTGGGTTGATTGAAGAATTACTTGGAGTTTGGAAAATCAAAAAGATTGAATGTCGACCAAGGTCTAGAGCATAGAGGCCTCTTGTCCAATTTATATTTGGGAAAGCATCTTCAATCTTATTATGGGTTGACAACTGAAGTAGTAAGCTTGACATAGTGAGTGTCATGCTTCACACATTCGCGAACAAAATGATAATCAAGTTCAATGTGTTGACATGAGTCTTAAATTGTTAATTTTTAGAAGTCCTATTTTAGGTAAAAGTAGGATGTGTACTTGGTTAGGTTTAAGGATCATCCATTCCACTTCATATATATTTTATAACGAGAACACTATACATTCTGTTCAGTATAAATATCGAATAAAAGCATTATATATTCTGAAGACAAAGTCAAAGATTTCGAAACCGACAAATTGGGTACAATGTGCACAGAAGTTGAGCAAGCCATCAATTAGCTAGCAAACTGGAAGAATCTCAGATGATATTTTAGGTGTAGATATTGCATCCTTTTAGAAGTGTGATTACTTGCAGTGCATTCCAAATCCCTAGATTGTAGGAATTTCAAGAATATAGGCAACCTAGCTGATTACATACCAGATCTGGTTTTTGTATCTTGCCGAATAAGCATGGCTTATCTTAGCAAAGTCAATTGACTTTGCACATTAATCTGGACCAGGATAATCGAGATAGAAGTTGCTGAGTCCGTAACTGAACTTCTGAGGTATTAGTACTTTGATTCGTCTTATTTTGGCCCTGGAAAATCATGGTCCTATAATTGTTCTTAACTATGTATCTGAAAAAGGTTGTTCCCCTTGAGGAGGAATAGTATACATAGACCATGTCTTTCAAAGTCAATTAGAATATATCATTTTTAATTATTCTGACACGTGGCTATTGAATTTTGTAACCGCAAAACCGTGACGTTCCGAATTCAGACGCACAGCTTCAAAAGTTGTGGTGTGGAGGCAACAATGATGAGGGATGTCATGTTATGTCTGCACAATAAACAAGAGGCGGCTCTTTACATTAGCGAGTGACTTTAGCCTTGGAACACACAAATCTTGAGGTGAGGCGCTTTGAATTTAAAAATAAGATCATTGAGAGACTCCTCCTTAAATAGCTTAGATTTTTTCCATTTTCTCCAACTTTTTTCTTTCAAATTTCGAACCAAAGTATGGCTCTCCTCCGTTCTTACTATACTCCACTTTTCGTGCCTGTTCCTTACTTTGAACCTTGGTTGCTTACATATGTAGCCAATAAAGTTGCAACACTCCTATTCGTTGTTATCAAGAACTATTAGATGAAGTAGGGATGAGCCATAACATTTCAATAGTAAACATTTTCTCCCTCATAGGGTTCCATAGTCTCCATACTCTACACCGTAGCCAAAAGCAACATCTTCCTTGCAGTCTTTGTATTCGGGTTCAACTTGAGCAGAGTATCGAAATTCTTCAGTGGGTTAATCTTCATTGGAGCCCTCTCATCATCCATCCAAAGTGAGTTGCGCAAGCTAGAATAACAAGCATCACAGTTTGTAGAAATCACTTTTCTTAGAGAAATTTTGTGCTAGGGGTGAGGGTGTGTCTCCACCAGAAATTGTACTCCTTTTGCCCTTTTTATGGGACCTTGATAATAAACATGTGTTTACACATTTTGTTAAATACTGGATTACTTAAGTCATTAATCATGTTAGAATAAAACACTTGAAATTTTTCATCTTTTGCTTCCTAATTAAGAAAGAAAGTTTTAATTCGACAAATCTTTCTGAAGTAACCCACTTCGGACTAATAACTAAAAGATAAAAACATGAATAAGTTTGCAGGCTCGGGACAGAGCTCTAAGGCCCTCTCAGTAACATTGATTTGCGAAAATGTTGCCTCCCAAATTTAGTGTTGATAAAGATTTTCATTGCGACAATCGAAATACCACCTTATTCCAACACTAGGCTCAAAAACCCATGAAAAATCTTTTACAACGAACTTGCTATGATGCATTGGTCGGAATAAAAATGAGAAAGTGATGAGTCATGTCTGGAATGGTCTTCGCCTCTTAAAGTTGGTTCGATCTCCTTTCGTCAAGCAAGATTGTATGTCTGTTTGTTGGTACACCTTCCCATTCTAGGTCTGAGGATTTTATTAGTCGCAACGTGCCATCAAGAAGGGGCTTCCTTCTTATTCTGAATTATGTGTCCATCCATACTATATCTTAAACAAAAGTTGATGAGTCGATATTATACTATATATTGTACCCTAACTTTAGTATTAATTTATTTGTTATTTTGTGAGAATTTGATACTTTGAATTATATTTCCAATGTAGGACATTTGACTTCCTCTTGTGCAAAAAGTGATCAAATGGATGAATTTTGAAGTGATTTCAATTGGAGGATGTTCGTTAGTCCCTCATCTTGTCATGCCAAAGTTTCGGATTTCTCAACCAAGCGGATAATTTATGGCAATGAAATAAA